CTTTTGCAGTGCCACTGTCTTTTATGAATCTATAGCGCTTTGCCATAGTTGGATAATTTCTGAATAAATATAATTAGGACGAGTTTCTTGAAGCACAGGGACAAGCAAAATTTCCCTCCTAAAATTGCTTTGGCTTAGATATTTTTCTTTTATGTTCAAAATGATACACCTCTTATTTTCTCAAAGAAAAAGACAAAAGACGCATTTTATGAAGCAGAGAATATTCTTCAAAAGGAAACTTAAAGATTTAATAATAAATGGGAAATTACTTCTTGGTTCTTCTATTCAAACTTTGTATTATCTTTCTCACCATTTCTAATTAAAATGCATTCAACAAATTTCTATAAACTTTACAAAACAAATTAAAGTTTACTTCTGATCCATATGGGATTTTAGGGAGCAATGATGGATGTGCTAAGGTGCGATATGATTATTTAATATGTGCACAGTGGCTGTCTCTCCTGCAGAGATGTGTTGGGACACACTCTAAGCCTGCTTGGTACTTCTGTGGGCTAATTTTTCCCTTTTGGCAGCAAGGTTGGCTTCTCAAAGTTTCAATGATTTTAAACCAAGGGAAGGAAACCCTCAAAATAATAGAAACAATTAGAAGTCCTAGACTTATTTTTTAAGTAAATTCAAGGCCAAATAAAATGTAAAGGGTTCGTTTCATGAGGGTATCTTTTTTGTCTTAAAAGAAAATTTCAACAAAGAACAACCAAATGAAAATCTCTAAGAAACACAAACAACCCACTAGCCCGCTGTCCCTAGTGCCATTCCCATTATAAAAAATAAAATAGGCGACGGTCTCTCTCTTACCTAAGCAGCATACATCTGCTCACTTGGCCATATTATGGAAACTGTTACTTCCACCACCAGCCATAAGAGTTCAGACGCCCCCGGTAGTTTTAATCTAAAAGCTCAGTCATCCTGTTCTTCCTGCTTTGTCAGCTTTTGTGGAGAGTTTTTCCCTTCTTCCCATTAGCAGAAATTTGGTTCACGCCGTTAAACAGTAGCACATTGTTTCCAAACTGCATATCAAGGCTGAAACGCAATCTTCAGGTCCTGCAGCCATTCGTAAACCTCTTTAGCTTTGTTCTTGGGTAGAACATACAATGTCTGCAGAGTCCCTTGACTGAATGACAGCCTTTGAATGCCACTGTTATGCACTCGTACAGAGAGATGTACATAGAGGTTCATACACAGATGGTGGACATAGCGGTTGTAATAATGCGCACTGCTGGCTATTTTTCTTTAAAATGGGCTTTGGAATATCCCCACAATTGAATATGAAGTAGGAGATGGAAATTCCATGTGCTTTTAGGGTTCTGTCATGGTCTGCACTACTCTTAAAATAGTCCGGGAAAGGGAGATTCATTGGAGCAATTACCTAAGGGTAGTGGTGTAGGGCATTAGCATCTGTCTAGCACTGGCCCAACACGTTGAAACCCAAACCCAAAGTGAAGGATTATTCTTCTGAGGGGTTCCCAGTGATAGACTGAATTAAAATCTATTTAAAAACTCATTTGGGATATGAAAATTCATGAGATCATCAGCCTCTGCTGTATTAGAAGGTGGAAAAGGCAAGAGGGCAGGTAGACTTGAAAATAATGAGAGAGAGAGAAAGAGAGAGAGAGAGAGATAAAGAAAGAAAGAAACGAGAACCTCAAACCCAGAGGAAGCCAGCTGACTGCAGTGCAGCAAAAGCACAAGCACTATTCCAGACCAGGTCATGCGGTCACCCGACCCCTCATGTTGGGGAGGAGGGTGGGGAAAGGGAGAGGGGATGGACAAACAGGGCAAAAAAGGAACGAGGCACAAGACACAGAGAAGCACCCACATTTGAACAAACAAAAACCATCACACGCACCCACACGTCAATAATCATAAGGAGACACCACCGTGCGTTACATCGCTCATGCGTTTCTGCCATCAAAACTTCAGACAATGTGAAATCAGGATTTGGCAGTGTTTTTTTTTTGTTGTTGTTTTTTTTTGTTTTTGTTTTTGCATTGCTCAACATGCACACATAACACAGGATTCTTCCTGTCCAGGCCTTTAAGGATGAGCTCCAAAAAACACAAATGCTCAAGATCCTTATTCAAAGAAAGATCCTTGTATCGCCCTAGTCTAAACATCTCGTTCTTACACTCACATTTATCTTTGCTGTCTCCTGGATCCTTAAAAACATACTGTGGTGAATTCTTGTTTGGTTTTCTTTTTGGAGGAAATCCATTTGGTTTTGAATCATGCCCATGCACTTCTAACCTTCTGATTCATGCTTATTCCAATCAGATATTGGTAGGAACAAATGGTCAACATACATAAACAACTAATATAAACTTCATACATACTCTAGCAACACAAGCTTGAATAAAATTTTTTAATGAGTCTTCAAAGGGAAAGCTTTAATTTTGTCTCTTTTCCTTTTCATCAAAGGAAAGAGCAATATGGAAGGAAATCCACAATGACTACTTTTTAGACCGGTAAGATGGTCACAGATGGCTGACCTAATAGGTCTTGTCATTTAAGTTGCTAAGTTATCAAAGTACTTAACATTCCTCTAGGCCCAGATCACCATAAGGAACACCTCAAGGTTATCGGAAAATGAATATGAGTCAAATGGTTGCTGTATGAAAGAAGTTGGGCTTTTCTTTTTTTCCTTTTTTTTTTTTAAAGAATAAAATCTGTTCTACACTGTCATCTTATTGGAAATCAGACCCTGTGACTTGTAATTTCCACCCACGCTCTATTATTATCTTTTTATCCTAACAACTGATTTGAAAAATTTCGTCCCCTTTCATCAAGTAAAAGTTTAAGATATTACTTTGGTTTTTATTAGAGCTATTTGCTGTGGGCGAGAGTGTGTATTGCTACAAACAGTGGTTGGAGCTCTTTGTGAAGATGCTATGAGGATTCTGGACAAGTTGAAGAATGCATTTGTAAGTGCATTACACAGGGATCGGCCCAGACTATCGATCACCTCTCCATTCCTTTGCTGTTAAGGAGTCCAATTTAAACTATGAGAGATACATAATACACCAGGGTTGTTCTGCCTATTTCCTACCAAGTATCTCATGCACTGCTGGTCAATAACATCTCACTGAAGTATCAGTGGCTGTTTGAATACCGTTCCCAACTAGCAGGACAGGGGCTGCTTTTTACCATACACTACATCTCTATTTTCTCTCAGAGGATTGTTGGAAAGTCTGTGTCTTTAAAAAAAAATCATACTGCAAAAAGAGATCACTTTCTCTTTTTCTCTCTTTAAAGAGAATGAGCTAATTAAAAATAGTAGCCTAGAATCACAATCAGCCCCCAAGTTCATTTCTCTTTTCTCAGCCAAGGGAACACATTTCCTACACTAAATAAATACCCTGTCTAGGCCTTCAAGGATGAGCTGCAAAATACAAGTACCTAAATTTTATTGAAGAGACCAAGAAAACAGAACTCTGGAGCTTTAGGAGATAAATGATCAATATTTCTTCAAAGATCTCATAGAATTCAAGAACCTTATGGTTACATTTGACCCTGGAGTTAATTACAGGAAGCTCAGAATTTAAAGTATTTTAAGAAGAATAAAACAAAATTTCTCGAGCTACATTAAAATAGCCTTAAAGCTCTGAGAATAATCGATGAAAGCCAGGAGGTGCTCAATTAATGGTGAAACATACAAATAACTAAGCTTAATGGAGTGCAATGCCTGAGATGTAGCAAGTATTATGGGGCATTACCTTAGAAAGTGGAAGTTTTATACCTAATTGATTTCTCATGACTGTCAAGTGTACCTGAACCCTTTAACTTATTTTTTATGGATGTTTCCCTTTGTGCCAATGACAGGGAAGGACAGGATGAAGTGGGAGTGGAGTGGAAGGGATCTATCACTCCATACCTAACTTTGACCTTAGAGGACAGCTCAAATAGGCTTTGTGTAGAGATTTCTAATCAATAGGTTCTCAAATGTAGGTTTCTTTAAGGAATCCAGTCTGAGACAGGAGATGTTACTCAAAAACTTGAATTAATCCTACAAGGTTGGCTGATCAGTTCTTGTCATTTCAATGACAGATTTCCACCCCGCACAACAGGCAAAGTGATTGAAGTGGGCCCTTTACCAAGTGATTCCCTTGGATTCAATTATTACAATTTAGCCCATTTTTAAACTAACATATCTGTCTCTAAGCACAATCTTGCCAGGCTTAGATTTGAGCTAAGTAATAAAGCAATATACGGATGGAACATGATTCTCATTTTCTGACTGGAAAGACACAGAAAAGTTAATAGGTTTATCCCCATCTCATACGTCAACTGGTGATAGGAGGGAAAGGAGACCATGTTTCCTTGATGTACACTAAGTTTTTAATCATGTTTCTGATTAAAGTTTTAAAATCAACATTTTATCATTTGGTCTGCAAGATACCCCCATACACCAATGACTTTTAAAAAGTCCTGGTTCATGTACGATCCTTTTGGAATGACCCATGTTAAGCATAATCATAAGATGAACAGGTAGAGATTACAGGTGCATTCAGGAAGGGCAGTCAACCCTAAGGGTGATGAGGACAAAACAAAGCCACAATACGTCCTAATCACAGCTTCTCTCCCATCCTCTGTGACCTCCAATCCCAACTGAGTGACACAGAGATCTGTCGTTCAAAATTTACCTGAGTCTACATTCTGTAACCTTTGGTTCAGATGCTAGATGTTTAAGTAAAATATTCATTACTTTTCAAGTTTTATGTATTTCAAGCTTTGGTGGAGTTTTATGTAAAGAGGCCACTCCTGTCATGTTAGACTGCAACCATTGGCTGTTGAACTCACAACAGAAATGACAAGACTCGACAGCCTTACACACAAAAAAATATAAATAAATATATATAGTCTATTTACAAGATCAGTCTACTCCAAACGTGATTTCCCTTGAAGACTGCATTTCTCTTTTTCCCAGGCTTGCCTTGCCTCTCAGCAGTGCTGAGAAAGTAGATAAACAGTAATGTGATACCAACCGTGAACTGCTGGTTCTGTCGTCGCCGTTGTATCTACAGACAGGAACAGAGGATTGGAGGAAGGGAAGAAACAGGAGGAACGGCATGCAAAAAAAGGGAAAATGGAAAAAAAATGGAACAGATAATATATGAGCAAGCTTTCAAAGAACATCGCGTGACAAGCAATAATAAATGAAAAGCAAAAAGCATTTGAAGTGAGTAGCACTGTTTTAAGACATGCCTGGAGCCCAAAGCTGCAAGCCAGTAAGGAAAACAGTAAATTCTTTGGTTTTTGGGGGTCTTGCCAGGACACATATATTTGCTAGTCAATAGTCAGGGAACATGCAAAGTGATGAGAGACACCGGTGCAAACTCAGGGGCTGGTAGATGGCTCTTAACGCATCAAGGCTCAGGACTGCGACAGAAAAGCTCAGCCGGAACGTTGGTTAAACAATGGATTCATACATTCAAACATTGCCTTTGTTTTAACCCAACCCACCCGGGCACATGGGCTTCTCCACTGCCAATTAGGCATCACTGGATCAATTGCACTGAGTGTAGGCTCAGATGCCTGTAGATGAATATGCAATAGACAAGTTCAACTTCTCCACTTTATTACATTGGCGGAGTTTAGCTAGGAAGTACAATGAACTGGCAGACCATGGGAATCAACAAATTACTTTCTTCATTCAGACACACAGTGTCCCTCTGTCCCCCCTCCCATTCTGAAGCTCTTAATATGTAACAGTTCAAGAGCAGAAGCCTTTCACGAAGACACACATGCCCACCCAGCCTTCCAAAAGCCACATCTAATCATGTGACACTCAAAACTAACGTCATCATCCATGAGCTTATAGCTGAGAACCACATTTGCAGCTGTGAGCTGCCAGCATCCTGTTCCACAGCTGGATTAGGAGATGGACCCATCATCTTTGTGTTGTTGCTACTGCACTTGTCATGGAAGAAGAGGTGGTTTGTCTCTTTCTTCTATTTAGGAGAACTGTTCAAGTGTTCTCCTTCTTCCCTACCTGGCCTGCTATCACAGGTTCCTTTCCACAGGACATTCTTCCTAAGGGCTCAAGGCATTTTCTCTTTACTCTTGGTTGTGGGGGAAGTGAAATGCATGCTGACATTTTTATCCAGAGTCATTTTAACACCACTCTTCTAGTCAATTTCATTCCGTGTGAACCCAGCTGGCCACAGTCTCCTTTTCCAGGCCCCTCAGATCTCCAACCTGCCCCATCAACTTGGCCATCCTTCGGCCAGAAAGGAATAGTGGTGCTGAGATGGTGCGGGTCATCTTGACTCAGAAGTTCTTGGGATTATGGGTTAAAATGATGATCTGACCTTTAAAAATGTTTAAATTTATTTTAAATAATGCAGCTACTCATTTAGGGTTTTTTCATGAGTCCCAGAGACTCCAAAAGACAGTTTCAGATTCAACACAGGCAATGTTTAAATGTACCAGAATGTCACATATAACTTTTTTTGGTGGTCCAATGAGCCTGGAGCTTCTGATTTGTAAATATGACACATGAATTCACACTGGTGTTCCCCCTCAGTCAGCATTCTTTCCTCGGTACTGCATACCATCAGAAGTCAAAGCCCTTCAAAGGAGCCAGAATTAAACCAGAAGTCTGAAGGGCCAATGCAGCTTAATATAACCAACCGCTGAATTTCTTGGAATAAGTAAAGATAAACATAAAATACACCACATAAGAATACAATACTTACTTACAAGTCAACTCTGTGTGCATAAAACAGCAGTAAAAATAATACAGGAAACTGTACAAGTGAAGCAACACTCTATACCAGCATTCCAGATTCTTCTGATATGGGAGACGTAGTTCTTTAGTGGAGTTATCTATGCCCAGCATTAGTTTGAGGCACTTTAAATTTGGGGGGCAGAATTGAATGTACATTTGTACAGAAACATTTATATTCATGTTCACACATTTTACGGGTAGGTATTTGGTTTCTTTCCAAAATAGAAATTAAAAAAAAAAGAAGGAAGCAATAAACACTTTGGCTCATTATTTTTGTGGTAGCACTTGTAATATGCGTTGTTTTTGTGAGGTAAATAATTAATAGGCAACAAAAGGGGATGAAGTAAAACTTCAAGGTTAGCGTCTTCAAAACATAATGTTTGACCCCAATTTACTGTCTTCCTGCATCACAACATTATGTCGGCTCGGTGACAAAATTAAACCAGGTGAAGCTAGGCGTTGGCTCTTTTGTGGGTACTAGCAAATACAAGAAGGCAAGATCCTAGTACATCTTGCTTCCCCCCACACTGGGGGTGGGAAATCCATCAATTGCACCCAAAAGAGGAGGAAAAGGGGTTGCTGAGAAGGAAAAAACACACACTCACATTCTAAAACAGGTAAGCAAACACATGTTCAAGTCAAACAACACAGTTACTGTAGCCGCTAATGGCCATCCACGATTAGCAATGGGGGAAGAGAGCAGCGGAAAACACAGCTGGCTAGAGTTTAGACTAGGTTTGAGGATGAATTTGGGGAACTGCTAGATCCCTCTTCTCTGACAGCGTCTGGTACGCTACCTGAACAGAGGCTGTTTCAACTCAAGAATTAAGGAAGAATTCTTTCCAAGTGCGGTTTCTCTCCTCACAGGAGAGCCTGGTGACAGGATTTGAACTGCATTATGACTTCATGCAGAAACCAGATGCCCTCGCTCTGGGCAGACTGTGAGCTTGCAAGGCAGGATTTATTTGCAAGGCAGGATTTATTAGGGTGTCTGAATCATAAGGTGGGCAAGTTCACCTCTCTGAATCAATTTGCAGGGTCACTGTATTTTTTGATAACATTCTAAGTGTACAGGCAAAACACAATTCCATTGAAAAATTGATAAATGCTAGAATCAGCTTGAAAGATGAGTATGTCTAATTGCTCTCACAAAGGCTTTTTTTAAAACCTAACTTCTTTGCTGCCTTGAAAGAAAAATCTTTGAACTAGGCCTATGTGAAAAATAGTTCACAAAGAGCTAAATTGGACTTACAACAGTATTCGGTTTAAAATTAAAAAGGCCTCGCTGAGCCATTGTTTCCAATTTAGTTTAACTGCAACGAGAGCAAATTTATTGTAAATTTATTCACACACACACACACACACACACACACACACACACACACACACACACACAAAATCTCTGGTTCCCACAAACTCAGTATGTACTGTCTTAATAGTCACTCTCTAGCTGTTTTATGAGCAGAATCAGACAAGTATCCAAGAAAGAGCCTGTGCATTATTTTTCTGCAAGATACACACTTCACTAAATACTGACTTCTCTTAGTTTCCTAGTCCTACAGTTTATGCAATCCTGCCTTGAATAAATGAAGCAGCCCACATATTTCATGTTGTAGCATAAGGTATTTACAAAATGAAAAATCTCTGACAATATGTGAGAATAGAGACACTAACCATTTAACCAAGTAGCAAAAAAAAAAAAAAGAAAAAAAAAGACTGCATGAGAGGCAGCTGGGCCATATTGAGTTGAAACAGTCATGTGTAAGCTCCACTGTGGCACATTCTAATCCTTTCATACGGTTCTCTCCAACTTCGAATTGTTCACTGAGTGTGACAGACTGGGGGTTTAAAACTAATCCATAAATTAGTCCGTGGTCTCAAACACAACGGGTGCCATAAATGAAAATGAAAATCCTAGAACAAAATTAAATTCACAACCTTAAATACTTTTTCTTCCCCAATTGATGTGTGGTGCTCCTGGCTGTACAATGCAGATTCACTGTGAGGCTGCAGTTTGGGGTGTGTGAGAACTGGGTGTACATTAAAAAAAAAAATACAGTAGAATAATGCCGAGACTCAATCTTTTCTGAGGCAGAGCTTAATTGTGAAGAATTTAAATTCCCCCATTTTGATTGTCATAAACTTAAATGAAAGCATAGTAAGCAGTATAGACATATTTTAATACACTTTCTCCCAGTTTATTTTTTTAACTAAAGTCAATAAGGAGCCAATGGGTTTGCTTAATTGAATTTCCCTTCAGTTTGTGTTATGAAGGTGCTTTAAATCTAGACACCAGGGCAGGCGAGGAATTCCCCTGACAATTTCATTTCATAGTCTGGCTGTGCTGGCCAATACATATTAAATATAGATGGCATTCTTTCTTTTCCTTTTCTAACTTATTTGAGATCTATTGAAAGCAAAAAAAATAAATGCTGGAAAATTAAACTCAAATGTAATTTCTACAGGTTTCTTTGTTAATTTTCTTGCCATCTATGTGTTGTTTTAATTAACTTTCCATTTCTTAGGGACAGATAGGACCAGAACCAAAGCTAAAAAGATCAAACAATCTCTCTTGTTTCTTAATGTCACCTCCCCTTTGAGTGAAGAGATTGTGTGCCACAGAACAGCAGGAAGGGAAGTTGATTTCAAAAAAAAAAATTTGTTTTTGTTTAGGAAATTTCAAGTTTTGTTAAAAGCTTCTTCAGAATTGTTCACTCTGTGGTGGCTGTGCTCCAGAGAGCTTTCATTGACAAACCAGATGTTCTCCAAAATAATAGGAATCTGTACAGTGGTTTTACTTAACAAGGAAAATAATTTCTACAGCCTGGTATGTGTGTGAAGGAGTGGGAGGAGGCCTCGCGGCCAGGGCAGGGGAAGCAGAGGGCGGTGGAGGGAAGGTACAGTGGTGAGAAGGGCAGAAGAGGGAAGAGGCTCCACAGTTCTACCGAATGGTGTTACACTCTGGAGGTCAGGGCCCTTCCTGTCACAGTCCTTTATTGAGGACTACAAGTATCATTTTTTAATCCTGGGAAACCCATATTCGTGGCATTATTTATTTGCATCGTCAACAGACCGTTTAGCATGGAAACAGGTCAACTCTATTCCTAGGAATATCTTTTGAGAATAGCATAAAATTATGGAAATTATAGAAGTATTAGAAAAGAACAATCTCACACTTCTCATCTTTTACTCTACTTAAAAAAACACGGAATCTGGTAACTTTGAACACATGAAATGTCTTCCATTCTGTCCTAAACCAATATAGGTCAAAACTGCTTGACTATGATA